AAATCATCCCAATACTTCTAGAATGATCAATTATTTCCAAATATAGCTAGTACTCTATTATCTATTAGTAATCTAAAATTCCTGTGTTTTTTTCATATTGCAATATACGTATAAATATACATATAGTAATGTCAGGTTTTTTTCCAATATTGTTCCAATATTGTGCCAATGATCACAAAAATAATTACTAAAAATTATCGCTGTTTTCCGGTAGTAACAGTAACTGATAATTATTAGAAAAATTTTACAGTGGCTGTCTTAAGCTCTTAAATGCGAACTAAACGCTTTTACATATTAAAAAAGGTTTGAGCTCTTTGAAACGTTTCAACACAGAAAAACCACCAATTCATTACTGATAGTTACAGGTCTGTATACACAAAAAGTTCAGAATTTTGAGAATTATGATATAATTAAATGATGAAATCTATCATGCAGAGAAACAGTGTGGATAATGAAAAGATTGATTTCCAGTGGATATGGATGAGAATATAGAGACCCGTCACCACACCGTGATCTTACATACTACAGTTATGACAGGATGGCTGTATGACTATATGATTTCCATTATAATCCAGGGCAAACTGTGATCATTAAATAACTGATTTTATAATGATCACTGTTTCATTAGTATGATTGGCTGGTGAATATGAATTGTTCTTTCTATGTGTTGTTACCAGCATCTGACTATAGCGTGTCCGTCTGGAGTGTGTGAACGCTGCTGTACCTACAGACTGATGAGAACACAGGTTAATGCGTTACAGTCCCAGCGTCAGTGTGTGTGTGTGTGTGTGTGTGTCACACCTGGAAGTGCTGATCCGCATCGGACTCTCCGATCTGCTGCAGGAGTTCACCGCTGGCCTGACCCACACTACCCGCTGCCTGCAGGAGGTTCTGTCGCGGCTGAAGACACACACAGCAATATTAACATATCATAACAGCAAAGGCAACATTAAAGCAGTATTTGCTCATAACATCTAGATTTACAGAGAGGACACAGCAGTGCTTGCACGGCAGCAAAAAAATAGTGTTCAAGTTTTAGCTACACTACTATTCAAAGGTTTGGGTTCGGCAAGATTTTATTGAAAGCAATTAATTTATTCTGCAAGGATTCATTAAAGTGATCAAAAGAGAGAGTGACATTTATGTTACAAAATATTTCGATTTCAAAAAAATTCTGTTCATTTAAACTTCATCAAAGAATCCTGACAAGAATTAATCATGGTTTCAACAAAAATATTAAGCAGCAAAAATGCTTTCAACATTGATAATAATGATTTCTGAAGGATCAAGTGACACTGAAGACTGGAGTAATGATGCTGAAAATTCAGCGCTGCGTCACAGGAATAAATTACACTTCAAAATATACTCCAATAGAAAACAGTTATTTTAAATTGTAATGATATTTCACAATATTAGTTTTTACCTTGTTTCAAATAAAATAAATGCGGGCTTGGTGAGCCTAAGAGATGTCTTTCATAAACATAAAAAAAAATCTTATCTTATTGACCCCAATCTTTTGATTGGAAGCGTTTGTTTAGGTTTTAAGCTTTGATTTCTTCCAAAAAACTGTAAGGGAGCCAGGTCGAAAAACTCCCATCTCATTTTCTCCTCCAACTTCAAAATCGCCCTACACTGCTGCAGAAGCACCGACCCAGTGTTTGCAAAGTGAACATGCAAAGAAGATCAAACGCCTTATACAAAAAAAAAAAAGGTACAACAGCGATGTAGGACGATTTTGAAGTTGGAGGAGAAAATGAGATGGGAGTTTTTAGACAGACACTAACTGTCTTGAAGCGGAGTACGCATGCGCATCGCAGAGCTAGACAAGATGGGCAGCATTTGAGGTTAAAAAGTATAGAAATGTTAATTTTTTTTTTTAGAAAATAACCAATCGTTTCGCTAGATAAAGACCCTTATTTCTCGGCTGAGTTTCCCTGAAACTGCATTTTTAACCTTCAATATTGGAATGTTTTCCTCAAAAAACAATTTCTTTGCGACTCAAGAAAGAAAGACACGAGTATCTTGAATGACATGGGGGTGAGTAAACTATCAGGAAATGTTTATTCTGGAAGTGGCGTATTCCTTTAAACACAACCGCTAAATTCCTTACAACTCCACTACAAACACACCGATGAATGAACCACATCAACTGTTTGGCACATTCTCAATCGCATGTTTGTACTGCAAACACTCAGGTGATACCTCAGTACTGGTGGGCTGAGCGGTCTTGAGCATCTCAGACACAGCACACGCCAGGCTCTTGGCAGCACCCAGAAGCTGTTGGCCATTTCCTCCCTCGTCCTCCATCAGCGCCGCCAGCAGTTTGACACCCTTAGACATCTCGGTCAGGTTGGAGGAGATGGTGGTGACAGCACAGCCCACAGCGGTGTAATCCGTCTCTGCTGGGTCACCTGACAGACACGTTCAGGGACAAACTACATTTTACCACATTACCAAACTATGTGGGAAGGATGACATATATCCAGCGTCCCACTAGCTGATGTTTTTAGTTTTGATAAAGAGTCGTCAGCTAGTGACGATGAGTGTCACCTGCAGTCAGATTGACCATGGAGGCAGTTCCCGCAGTGATGGCATCCACCTGAGAGTGAATCTCGTGTTTGGACTCGTCCATTTTGTTCTTTCTCCATGCTTGAGAGGCCTAAACATCAGAGAGAGAGAGAGGATGCTCAATACTGTACTGAGCACATGATATACATTCATCACTACAGCAGATTACAGTAGCATGTCAGAAATATGTCTCTTTCCACACATTATATGCAGTCTATTGTCTTCTAGACTGCATTGGATAAATCTTGTCCACACTTTTTCTTTTGGTCAGTCCCACACCATTTAATCAGAATCTCCTTTTAATATAATTTCTGAACCCTATCAAAGTTGAAATGTCAATATAAATGGCACATGTTTCAGTAACACTTTAGATTAGGGAACACATGTTCACTCTGTAAACTCCTAATTTGCTGCTTAATTATAGCAAGTAAGGTAGTTGTTATAGTTGTTACGTTAGGTATTGGGTAGGTTCAGAGATCTAAAATATGGTCATTCAGAAGAAGACATTAATATGTGCTTTATAAGTACTAATAAACAGCCAATATGCTAGTAATATGCATGCTAATAAGCAACTAGTTAATAGTGAATAGTGTGCCCGATCTAAAGTGTTACTGCTGTCAGTCCCATATAAAAAAGACCAAATATTTTTACCTCCAGGAAAAAGAAAGAAGAAAATTTAAATAAAAAAATGCACCTATATGCTCAGTTCAAAAAAGACTCGACTTCAATAATAATAATAAAAAAATACAGCACTATCCTATTAATTATGTACATGAAATTTAGTATATGCTAATTTAGATATTTTCTCAATCTTATGGTTTGCATGGAGCATTTGAGAAATGGTCACATTTATGCAAATGTCAACTGAAAAACAATTGCTGGGAGAAGCAAGTAGTGACATCTGTCATGCTGCTTGGGTTTCTGCTGGATCATTTTTATAATTCCATAAATACACAACATTATATAATATAATATATATATTTTTTTGGAACAATGTTGCAGAGAAGCCAAAGGCATTTTGAAAAAAACAAAAAAAACTAAACAAAACAAACAAACTTGAGATTTTTATTTTTCACCCAGGTCAAAAATGACCCAAACAGAACACGGGTAAAAAAATACTGCACATTTGAAAAGTGCCTGAGGCAATTAAAAGTTACATTTATATGAATAATGCATCTCACCGCATCAGTGCCCAGTGGAGGCAGCGCGTCGAACTCATCGAGAGAGGCCTGAACTGCCTGCACCGCCTGCATACTGGAGTTAATGGTGCCGGTCAAAGCCTGCTGAGCTGATGTCTGCAAGATACAGAGAACACAGACAGCTCACAGTACGGCCCAAACAAACAGCACTGACAGGTAGAGTGACTACAATTACATAGACATGTCTCATATTCACATCAAGAGCAGAGCCCACCCTTCAGAACACATTCAGTGGTCGTTCCTGTAGTGTTTGTGCGTGTGTATACAGTATCTGACCAGAGGGGGCATGTGTCCTCGGTGCATCTGTCCGCTGGTGATGTGCTGTTTGGCCTGTGGCATGGAGCCCATCTGGAAGCTCTCCGGACCTCCGGCACCAGAGCGGATGATGGCCGGCAGAGCGACAGAGCCCGTCTCCACCTTCCCGACCTTATTAAACTGCTGCTGGAGAACTGTTGACCTGGAGCATAATACATCACAGGTTACCATTAGATCGAATGCCGTAACTCAGACTTATAACAGGAAACGATGTGTGACATATGTAAGCGCATGGAGCAACACCATACTACTTTCAAACACACTAGTACGTGATGAACTATGAAAAGACGCTCACTTTTTGGGAGATACCGAGTCCTCCAGCATGGTTGATTCCTCGTCGCCTTCCAGGCCGAAGTGATCTTTACTCTTTTTCTGCAGATAAAGAGGTTTTCAGACACAGTGAGCTGGCGAAAGATACTTGAGAGCAGGACCTTAATGTTTTTTTAGAGCAGACTGTGTCTTTCTCTAGACTGGTCAAACATGAAGGTTTGTTGAGGAATTCCTCACACCGCAGAGAACCAGCAGCAGCAATTTCACAAAGACCCATTACACAACCATTAAAAATTAGACCGATATGATGAGAAAAAGATCTGCTTAATAACTGAACTCCATCAATCCTTCAACCAAGTTGCAACTCTGACCACTCTAGGTCACGGGGTTATTGTGAAACTAGGAGCGTGATGGTTGTGAAGTGTGCTCATGTCAGGGAGTGCTGCCCATTGCAAAATCCCTGTGTTTTCAAAAGAGTACCTGCAGTAGCAGATTATGTATGATTATGTGTGATCAGCAGAAGACTTGCAGAGCCAAACCTTTGTAACGACAAAGTCTGGTCCACAAAGCAGTTCATTCTGTCTAGGAAATGCCCACTTATACAGGTAGAGACATGTAAATCAATGCACCACCGCTTGTGTCAATAGCTTTGTTTCCATCACCCTATTTTAATGCGCATTTTGAAGTATCGCATGAGAAACGAGTGATGGAAACGCCAAATTTCGAATAAAAATAAATTATTAAAAAATACGTTTTTACTCTCGCTTGAGGTGGTTTTTGACTTGGGATGGAAACTTTGGATGGAAACCTGGCTAATGTCACCACATAACAAATAATTCACACATTAATAATTAATAACAACTTATACAAATATTATAAGTAAATCCAACCTTACCTAAATGCATACACTCACATTAAGCAGTATGCATTAGCAAATGTCAACTGCTTGATTGTTATATCACTGAAAACTGTAAACTATATCATCATCCAGCAATATATTACAAGTTTGATATATAGTACATAATACTTTACCTGCATAAATACAGTACACTCACGTAACACATACTATGTTGCAAATCTCGGCTGCGTGATTATGTATATCATTACAAAATGTAAACTGTATTATCGCATAGCTCTATATGTAAAGATATTTAAAGATTGATATATATATATATATATATATATATATATATATATATATATGTATATCAAACACGTAGGCCAATATATACTGTTATCTCTATATAAACTAATAATTTCTAAACCCTGATTGCCTGTATGATCGCATTAATCTATATTACACAACTCTAATCTGCTAAGATGCTATAAATATTAACATCATGAATAACGTATTGTGAAAAGCACTAGACAAATAAATTTGACTTGACTTGAATAAATGCTTAGAAGTAATTGAAAAGGTGTCGTCAGAGATTTCTTAAGGAGTTTGTTGCACAACTAAAATAGTTAATTGCACAATAATAGTCCATCATGGACATTTTTTTTTAAATAATGATGCATCAGTCTCCGCAAATGGTTGCATAAAAACACTAAAGAAAATTTAGGAAAACATGTACACTTGATCAAATCCAGTTAATATTTTTTTCCTTAAAAGCACTCTTTGTATTAATCTGGTATTGTGTCAACTTGTGCAAAAACCTATGTGCCCTTATTCCGAAAAGCTGCCTAATGACAGCCAGTTTCCAGATTTGTGTGTAAATATATGATTTGTAACCTGAATGCATTCCTTTCTGAGGGTGAATCTAGTCTTGTGAGTCCAACAATATGTGAAATTAAAAATAAGTCGTCAGACTTCACATGATTTATTAAAGTTTAACAATGAGATTGGTCATGGCATGTTACCTTTTTGAGAATGATGTCGATGTAACCAGCGATGAGTTGCGCAATCTGCTCTCCTTCAGTGGTCTGAACAGAGTAGTAACCATCCTGATAGTCTCCAAAGTCCTGAAGAAGGGAGTTTAAACATATGACATCACACTTACTTGCAACAAAAATAACAACTGTGTAAATAATACAGCAACCTATAAAACACTAAACAGTAAAACAATAGTTTGGATGATTAATTAACTTGGTGCTGCCATTGTTATTGAACAGTGAATTGCGCATTCATACATTAGGCTGTATAAAATGAGCAAATATTTTCTTAGGTTTAGAAAAAATTAAATTTTTAATACATTTTTAATTTCACGGTGAAATTACATAGCAGGAATGGAATAGGTCCACTCTAATTCACAATGTTTGAGAATTCTGTGCAGCAAGAAAAAAAGCAAAATGTATTGAGTGTGTCTGAGTGTGTAGTAACAGAGAGCTGGAGGACGGAAATAATTCATTTAATGTAATCAATAAGTCTGCAGCCAGTCTAAATACTGAATTACTGCTGTGCTTCGTGATGCATAAACAATGTTCAGCATTGATAACTGCTTCAGTCTATTACAAGAAACAGGAACTGATTTTGTCTGTCGCAGCTTTAACATTCCTGCATGTGTCTGAAAATATTATCGGGCATTATTCGTTTCCTAAACTGGGATTAGTGAGGGAACTGAAAGAGGTTTGTCAGTTGATGAAAAGCTAATACTGAATTAAATCATAAAAATGTACAATTAAAATAAATGCATTTAAAATAAAAATACATCACTTAATAAAAACACAAAATATTGTGTTCACCTGTATATCTTGTGCCCATTAACCCAGAGAACCATAAACATGTAAATGTATTGTTAGATTATTGAAATATTAACTGTAAATCTCAAAAGATATTTAAAAGTTAATATTTTAGTTCAAAGAGGCTCAGCTGACAAAAGTTTGGGAATCTGTTGTTAGAGGATGTTCTGTTCTTTTCCAAAAAAAAAATAATAATACATTTTTCCTGTTAGAAACAGCCAGTTTAACCTATCTCTGATACACAAACTTCATAACTCACATAATATATAATGATTGTGTATAATTGTGCCCTTGATGTCAGAGCTAAAAAAATAATGTGAATCAAACTTCCTGTGGACACTAATCTGAATCATAAGGTAAAAATTAAGTAACAAAGTCATCGTAATAGTAATAAACTCACTGCCAAAGGATCATCACAAAACTATTAGAGGACAGCATGCTCTGCACAAAGGCTGGCTTGAAAAACAAACATAAGTACTGGGGTGAAGTTGTTTACACACCGTCTTGTCATTCCAAAGACTTTGGTTCATCTTCAGAATTTTTATGACTTCTTTTTGTACTTTTTGGAACATTAAATATTTTGGTCTTGTAGATTTTCAAAGGATGGACATAAATGACGAAATTTTATGAAAAATGACAGAATTTTCATTTTAGGGTGAATTATATTATTATATTGTTAACCTAAACAATCCTAATTTTCACCAAAATGGACCAAATCAAACCGAAACGGTGACCACAGAGCTGTGAAACACCCTTAGCACACATCATATCCACAGTGTCAAGTGTGAGTTATTATCAGAACACAGTGTGTGTGTTTAGAGGAGTGTGTTGGTACCAGCGTGAAGCTCTTGGGAGAAGCGGCCCAGCGTTTGATGTTGGTCAGACTCCACTCCTGAATCACCTCTTTGGTCTTCTCATCCACTCTCATCACACACTCTTTAGTGATGCCCAACAAACGCGGAACAAGCTTATTCTTTCCTTTCATTTTTTCCTGTAAAGAGAATAAACATTAGCATTAACACAAGAAAGCAGGAGCCATTTATTAATATTAGAGCTCAGATAAGGCGTGAGATCTTTACCTTGACTAAGAAGAAGGACACTCCATAGGTTTTCAGAGATCTGGCCAGTTTGACGTAGCTGACTTTGGCCTCAATCTCTGTCATGTTTTGGCAGTTTTTGTGTGCCTTAAAGAGACAAGTTTATCATTAAATTAAAATTCATATAGCGCATAGTGCTGCGCCTAACATGGGTACGAAAAATGCACTCTCTATTCTAATTCTATGCTTTTAAAAAAAATTATATTTTGTATTCTATTTGTTTTCTTTTTATTTATTATACAAGTAACAAAAAAACAAAAAAGGCCTCTAACACTAGCTTGCTCTATTCGTTATCTATTCTATCTGTTTTCTTTTTATTTATTTATTATATAATTATAAAAATGATTAAAATTTAGGTTAAAAATTTTAATTTTTAAAATAAATAAAAAACCCTTGCTACGTGTACTGCATTAAGCTAACTGAGACTTGTCATAGCACTTGCATATCATTGCTCTTTTGTTGGTTTTGATTGCTTCCATTGTCCTCATTTGTAAGCCACTTTGGATAAAAGCGTGTGCTAAATGACAATGTAAATGTAAATGTATGTAAATGAAAAAATAATAAATTACACATAACCTGCATAACCTCACCTGGAAGATCTTTTTCTCGCCCTTGTTCTTGATGTACTCTTTGGGCAAGAATTCTTTCAAACTGGATGAGACAGACATGAATCAAGAATTAGTTTTATTTTCATTAATATTTTGAGAATGAAAGCAATCTGGACTGGTGAATAGCAGTAGCTTGTGCTGGGAACTGATGTATAAAAACAAGATCATGATTTTACAACTCCAGTACAGTTATGGCTGATTAATAATAGTGCTGGAAGTTTAACAAAAGTCACGTTTTCTGTTTGTACTGCATGTAATTTAGTCAAAAACCTGACATGTGAAATATCATGCATACATGAAACATGGTTACTATTCATAGAAACAGAGGTAATCTCATCAACTCTGTTCCTGATGAAATTAACAGACAAGACATGACATAACATAAAAGACAAGACATAACAGCCGCCATGGCTAAACTATTACTACTACTGTTTATGAAAATATGATTAGAAAAAGCAAAAAAACTAAAGAAAGATTTTATGCAAATAAACCAATATTTTAAGAATTGATTGATCGAGCCGAAACTGCCTGTACTTTTAACTTACTCGAACCTAACAGTAAACATAACCATGAGTGTAAACTTAAACAAATGATGTTATTGTAAATTTGAGTTCAGTGTTTGCATTTCTGTTCTCACGCAGTTTGAGAAATGCAGAATCTGTTGGTTTTGAAGGCTCTGATGGCATTAACTACCACATAATTAGGTGGTTAAATTGTGATTAAACATTTTAATTAATTAACAACCCAAATAAAGAAGTTTCTATGCAACTAAAGCAGTACACTCACAGATACAGTTAAGGCAAGGATAAAAAGAAATGTGTTGAGCTCACTCAAGGAATCCTGGTTTGTGTTTCAACTCATTGTGGTCTCCGAACTGGATCTGGCACTGATATCCGGCAAACTCACAGGCCTTATCAAAGGAGACAGGGTGGGAGCCGTTCAGGATGTCATCACGGGCCTGGGATACAACATACAGTACGTAAATGCAATTGAATTTGAACAAAATTAGCAACAACCTGATATAACTATGCAGACACTGCATCATACATTTCTAGCAAGAAGTAACTTGTCTACACTAAAAGTGAAACGATGCACAAAGCATCACAATTACAGCCAACCAGACCATTTTCAATGTTTAACATACAGTTATGTAGACTGTGATTTTAGACCAATGAGATTTTGAAGTGAGTGTACAGTAGCTTCCCCCATATAAATGCCACAGAAATAACTGACAGAATGCTTTGCCACTAAGGACAAAAACTAGAGAGATATCATTCAGTTTACTTTACAAATGACATTAGGACATGATTATGATGTAAATGTGATGTTCTGTGGTGTTTACCTGCACATAGAGCAGGTTGAGCTGTACTGGGTCCCTGGAATCCACATTCTGGTCCGAGTAGAAGAACTTTCTTCTGAGAAGCAGCATCTCAGACTCCTCCACACCCTGCTCTCGCAGCGTCCGCCCATGATCCAACCAATTCACTGTTGAAATGCAGCTCTGACATCAGTAAATTCAACTAGATTCCAAAATATCATCCACATGTAAAAGCTTGGAAACACTTGACTGAATTTTCATTTCTCATTATCTTAAAAACCTGAATCTTAAAATTTCTTTTCAAATCCAAAAATGTAATTATATGTATTTTTTTAATGGATTAGCCAGAGCGCAGTGTAAAGAAATTCAGTCAACAAGAATCTAGAATACATGAGAATATGCATTTTGTCATTATGAAATTCCCTTCAGTGAACAGGTTGAGAATACACTGTATGTATTGTTTTGAAGTCCTGCTAAAATAGCAAACAACATGCATCAATGTTTATTTTATTCATGGTAAGCAGGAAGCGACATACACTCATCATCTGTGTGAAGTTTCTGTTTGAGTTTCTCCATTTTTTTGTCATCCCTCAGGAGGGTCTTGTCTCTTTTCAGTGTCCCCATGGTCTCTTCCTTCTTTTCCTCTCCCACGTCACGCACCAGCGAGTACTCGTCATAGTTTGTGATGCCTGAGAAACCAGAAGTGTTTTACTCTCTCATTGCATTCAAACTGCTCCTCAAGAGTCATAACAGTTCAATTAAACCTCTAAATATAATTTTTACAGACCACCATTAAGTATTGTTGCAGACCTCCATTCATAATCTTAAGTGCTACTGACTACATCCAAATATAGTTTTAGTAATCTGATCACAAAATGTTTTAGACCCTGTTTCCACCTATATTTAACACTAACCACTTCTTATTGGATCACCAAAAAATATCTTCATACTAAGTGAAAACGGCCCATGTGACTGGATGACTATCCCATGTGGTACGATGTAGATAGAGAAAAACAGCGGTCCGATCACTGAACCCTGTGGTACCTCAATGCTGAGAGCACTCAGTGAGCACAGTGAGCTAATCCAACTGACTTGGAAAGACCTGTTATCCATGTATAATATAAAACAAGAGAGATCTGGCCTAGAAATTACTAAAAAGCAGGCAAAATGGAGTTCTCGCTCCTCATATGGATACTAACTTACCTATTCTTGCACAGATGGTCATTAGCATGTCACTGACGATTTTTGAGTCATCCACCATGACTGTTTTAACAGTTCCATCCAACATGCGGATCTTCAGGGGTCTCTGTTTCTTTTTGTACTCCAGAGTGTCCTAAAAAATGCATGTTCTTATGAAAAATCCTTTATAAATCTCAGCAAATTATGTTCACTAGTGTTATCTGCTGTATCTTAAATAAGTGTCAGTTTTTAAGGACACTATCACGTTTATATAATTTTAATATAACACTGATTTTACAAATAATGTTGGCATTTACATTTTTTCATTTGACAGATGCTACAAAGTAATTTACAGTTACATTTTATCAGTAAGTACACTGGCAATCAACACTTGAACATGGTTTTGGTAGATCCATGCTTTACCAGTTACAGATGCTTAGATGTGCATGGACTTATTTCAAATACATTTAAAATGTCATTTTCCTGAAAACAATCCCAGTGAAAATATAGAAACAATGGGCATGAATTCCACACCTTTGATTTTTTATGATTTTCCACTCATTTGTGATTACTAGAGAAGTAAACATTTTATAAACAGTGCACTCACAATGAGCATTATTCTATTTAATATTTTAATTGAATTACTTTACTTTATGTTTTATTTGAAATATTCTAGACTCACCCCATTTCTCAGCATGTAGTAGTCCAGGGCTTTGCCTGCTTCCAGCCAAATACCTTTCTTTGGGTCCTCATCTGACAGGAAGAGGCCATAGTCACTGGCTGCAAGAAGACAGCAGAGTTAGTGGGCGGTCAGATTGCATCTTACAACCTGATAAGACTGTCAAAATCAGAAGGTGCATTGACTGAACATTTCCCATAATTTACTGAATTTGAACAGAAAGCGGCTGTCACAGCATGTGAGTATTAAACTAAGTTCTCATTCACACACAAGTTTACGTTAAAAACACATGAGTTACAAAAACAGTCGGTTATGTCTGTGAAGGTAAACAGCTGGGAAATAAATCGCATGTTCATTTTAGATCTGTGTGGCAGCAGCAATATACAGTAAATAAATCAATAAATCCACTGCTCTGTTGTCTCCTCTGAGGCTGGGACTCTAAATAGTGTTCTGTGCTCGTCTGTGCAGCCAAATACAGAACACTCAAACTTTCGCCGTGGCATTAGAGCTGGTAAGTTACTGGGTTAATCTTTTTCACGTTTCCTTGGTTGGTAGATGCACCGGGGACCTGATTATAGCACTTAAAACCTGGAAAAGTCAGATTTTCATGATATGTCACCTTTAAAGAATAACACAAGATGATGTGGAAAACAAACTCAATTCAGATTTCGCCGGCTGTCTGATGAGCGGTTTTCTGTGCACACACACCAAATGTTTATTTTATTTGCATCTTTGTTTTACTGTATTTATTTGAGCTACTTACTTCGTTTTTTAGAGTTACTGTCGTGAAACGTGATTATTTGTTCTTATTACGGTTTACTTGTCTTTAATAATGTTTGAACCACTAATTGTTGCTGTGGTAAGGAAACAAGAACTGTAAAATTTCCCAGGTATCTAAAGTTTTAGTCATAACAATCTTATTTATTAGAAAACAAGGTTACAAAACAATGAAAACAATTACTTGTTTTTATTTTGTGGCAGAGCCACTGTTCCAACTGGGCTCGTAGAAAAAAAATCCTTATCGCTGAGCCCTGCATAAATTACGTTTTGGATTTAAAAAACAACTACTGTCGCCAGTTTCAAGCACTAGAGACACTGTTTGGCTTCCAAAAACTTTGATTTTCTTCCTTAAGTGATTAGGTCAAGTTAGAAAATATGAATTGTTTTACTTCAAATAATCTTACTTACTTAAATTTACTTATAATTTTCATTGGTGATGCCAGGAAAGAATTTGAGCTTTTTCCTCTGAGGGATTAGATAGTGTCCTCCAAATGTAATGCGGCAACACTGACAGACGAGCTATTTAAGACCACTACACATTCCACATAAGCTGTTGAGTTTGGACGAAAGCAGTCTGTCAAACAGACGAATGACTCACAGGTTAAGACAAGTATGTAGAGCAGTACTGAGGACTATTACATAACAGCTGGGACCCAGCCGCACCCTGATACAGGCCCATTATAGCGCCGCAGAACAAACTAGATTTACACTTGATTTCTGTGGTATGTTTTGGCTTCTCTGGTATTTTTTTCTCTCTTTACTCTTTGAAAGGAAGCAAATTTGGGTGGAACAAATGCTAAAAAGGGAAACCAAAATCAGAGATATTATGTTGGGATTTTAGCCAAATATGGATAATTTGACTAGTGTTGCTGCCCATGACAGCTGTAGGCTATGTATTAAGTTTTTTATGAAATGTAGGAGAAGTTATTAAATGTGGGATAGAGGAAGACAAACAGTGAATGACAAACTGATTTTTTACTGATCTGATTAAAAGTCTGATAAAAAAAAATGTATGTGCAATTTAACTAAAACCAAAAAACGTCTATGGATATCAGATGTGACGCGATGGCACAGTATGTGATGAAAGTTATCGTTTCCCAGTTAATCAGTTTTTGTCTTAACGAGCCGCGATGGAGATGTGTGATGAGTGATGGAGGATTCAGCTCAATGATTTTCTCAGGTACTTGTGCGCTCTGTACAATAATAATATTGTGGAGATTGAATATCATTTTGCATGACTTTATAGCCATAATGAAAGGGACAATGGATAAATTAACAGATCTTGAAAATAATTTGAAGTAAACCAACGGCCAAACTGTGCTCAAACAAGTGTATTCTATTACAAAAGTTGTCAGTCACAAAGTATGTATTTTTATTAATGTTAAAATAATTCGTCACACTTTATTTTAAGGTTCAGTTCTCGCTATTAACAAACCATTAACTATGACTTTTGCCTCAATAATCTCCTAATTTGCTGCTTATTAATAGTTAGTAAGGTGGTTGTTAAGTTTAGGTATTGTGTAGGATTAGATATGTAGAATATGCGCATGCAGAATATGTGCTTTTCAAACAGCCAATATGTTAATAATAGGCATGCTAATTAGCAATTAGATAATAGTAAGAATTGGTCCCTATACTAAAGTGTTATCAAAAAATTTATTTTTTATTAATTTGATTATGTGGAAATTTGATATAAGTTACTAACTGTACTTTAAATTTTACAGTTGATCGATCTGACATGAGATGTGAATATTTCAGCCATCAAATGTTTAATAACACTGCCATTCACATGAGAATTTCCAATGCTTTTTGTCTGAATTTGTCACTTCTTTTCAGGGTTGTGAGTGTCTGGTGACGGACTCACGCTGGCCGAGCTGTGCTTCTGGAACTCTCTCCCGGATGATGCGACAGGCGTCGTACACCATGGTAGAGGGCTCGAACTGCATGGTCTTCACCACATTCCCCACCCCGATCTTCAGCGACAGCGCCACCATGACTGACACTACGGGACTGTGCCACTGCTACTCCTGCAAAACAAACACCACACAAACTCTCAACACTCTTTTCAGGCTAACATTATTGATGATTTAGACTAGTGGTTCCCAACCCTGGTCCTGGAGGCACCCCAACACTGCACGTTTTGCATGTCTCCTTAATCAAACACACCTGATTCAGGTCATCAGCTCATTAGTAGAGCCTCCAAGACCTGAAACTGGTGCGTCAGTGAAAGGAGACATGCAAAATGTGCAGTGTTGGGGTGCCTCCAGGACCAGGGTTGGGAACCACTGAGCTACGCTTCCGGTCTGGCAGTACGTGGGAAAGGAGACCAGAGATCCATTTTGTTTGAATGGATGTCAATGGAGGAGAGGCTTCCCTACAGCTTTTTAGAGGAAACAGCTTATCATTTAATGAATCGACAGCCTATCTGCTAATCTTCAACATGTTTTACACTAAACAATACTTTTGGATTGTACTATGAAAAAAATGCTGTTTTATAAGAGAAGTCACTGACTTTTTGTGACAGGTGGGATTCAGTTTACGGCACTCTCATTCATTCCTATGGGATCCGTAAACAGCGATTGAGTGTCGCACAGCTCTGACTGAAATTCAATGACGTCAAGGCTGTAATGTGATTGGTTATTACAGCACACGTGATCCAAGTTAGCCGTTATGCTTTCTCCAATAGTAAGTAATACAGACCCTCTTATCTCCCTATAGTAAGACAATCTCTGCTTCTAGACCTGAAATTAGTGTGTCAGAGAAAGGAGACATGCAAAATGTGCTGTGTTGGTGTGCCTCCAGGACCAGGGTTGGGAACCACCGATTTAGACCAATGTTCACTTCTTGATTAAAGCATCACAGAAAACTGAATTATGAAACAGACTGCAGGACAGCGTAAAAGTAACACTAAACAACTATCAAATAACAGTTACAGTTTTTTAAAGTTATTTTTATGGGCTTTTTATGCCTTTTTATTGAGATAGGACAGTAGAGAGATGACAGGAAATTACTGGGAGGAGAGAGGTGAGCGGGATCGGCAAAGGACCTCGAGACGGGAAGCGCTAACCACAACCACGAGGCTATTGGCGCCAACTATCCTGCTTTGTTTAGTAACTAAATACTACCATTTTTTTTTTTACAAGTTTAATACATTGCTATGTAAAATATGCATTGTGTTTTCTCACACTTTTCTGTTGTTGATGCAATTATGCGTGAGAAAAAGACAGAGAGAGGCTGAACTTCCCTGTTAGAGGGGGATTTCACTCTGAGATTTGACCAGAAACAAGGAACAAAGTACGTCCTTTTTCACTTTTACTTAAAAATCTATTTTAAATACCAGTCAAGTAAGGCAAAAGCACACCTTCACACGATAACTCCTACATGAAAGTCCACTAATACTACTTTAAATTCCTCTGCTCTGTTTGCAAGAAAAAAGTCTGTATGTCAAGAGCAAAACAAGATGCAATCACATCAATGATACCACAACAGACAATCCCAATCAAAAAGAACATCAGAGAGAGAAAACAAGAGTCTCCTACATGAAGTCAATGTCAAGTAAAAGACAAACACTAGGCCTATATATTAAAGAAATAAGAAAAATATTCAAAAAGCCAAACTGTTCACTCAGAAGTTTTTGGTGTGTTTATCTTTTCCATATCCTTTCTTGTACATCCCCAAGAAAAAATCCCCAGCTTTGGGAAAACACCTCAGTGAAGCAGAGGAATGCTGGCAAAGACTAAACAACAGCAATATGGGATAGGAGTAGGGATGCACGATATATCGGCGGCCATATCGTTATCGGCCAATAAATGCTATTTTTTATATTATCGTTATCGGTCCGATAACAAAATTAGGTCGATATCTTTAAGCCGATAAATTATGTATTATTTCCGCTGGTTGAACCACTTCTCGTGCTTGCTGCTGGCCACTAGGGTTTTGATCGTCGCTTCTGTGACTTTCCGACTGTATGGCGATAGGGAGAAAGATAGTCGGGCATTTCAAACATTCTCACCTTGCCATGTCCTGACTTGGAGAGATACAGACAGAACTAGGACTGTCAAAAAAGATGCTGCAACAAGACACTCCGACACGTTGGAACAGTACGTTTTATATGATGTCGAGTTTGTTAGCACAGAAGCGAGCACTTGGTGCATATGGGGCAGAATTCGAGCTTCCCGCATCTTTCAGCGCGTACCAGTGGGGCCTTATTGAAAATGCAGTAACACTGCTTGCGCCTTTCAAAGAACTGACGAGGGAAATAAGTTCACACACGGCAACTGCTTCAGTCGTGATGAGAAAGAGAGAAATGAGACAGAGCCCCCTTTAAAAAAGACGTGCACCGAGAGCGACGGAGGCGCAACATCCCTGCTTGACATGTATGGTGAAATTCTTGGAGAAAACATGGCCACAGAACACCAGACGCACCAAACATCTCCAGTAGGACAGCAGGTAAATTATTTTTTACTTTTGATTAACTGATTCATTATTAAATAAACTTTTTTTTTGTTTAGTTTTTGGATAAATAAAAAATGTAATTTAGGTTTCTATAAAAAAAATTTGTGCATCACCTTTAAATTATATTTGTAGATTTTTATATTTTGTCGACTATTTTATGGATTTTCACTGCAAAGATGACACAAATGCATTTATTTTTTATTAATGAATTATTTAAAGCTGCTGTAAATGTTGTCATTTTGAGCCTTAATGATGAGAAGTCCCATAAATCCTGATTGTGAAGGCTACAGTACATCACATAATACATACAAACTGTTTTATTTATTTATTGATTCATTCACTTTTATATTGCTTTATATTGCCCTTTAAACCTTTATCAGATGCTAATTTCCTGTAAGGTTAACCTAAGAACACTGTCACAAATCTAGTGTGAACGGCAGTGTTGAGGTCAGCTGTGTTTATAAGCTGTGCAGAGAATGGACACACATTCCTGAGGAGGGTGAGTGTGTGTGTGTGTGTGTGTGTGTGTGTGTGTGCGCTCTCATTGGGAGATCAGTACACAGTCTTCTCTCTGGGGAAGCATTCCAGCTGCCCGATCCGAGCTGTGTGTCTGTGTTTTGGGGGAGGCGCTGAGGAGGGACACTTCTCCACATACTTCCAGCATTCCCTTCATAGTCCAGTGTAACACTCCCACCAAACCAAAACAAGTTAAGGAAGAAAACAATGCAATTCTGATAGAACAACATACTCCTAGCATAAAGACACTACGGGCATATAAAACAAGGCTACTTGACTAGTCTGTGTTAAAGCTGATGTGCGTAATTTCCATGCCACTAGAGTCACCAAAAGGAATTGCACAACAGAACACTTTTCGAAAAGTTTCTCAAACCCTCCTCCATAAGCTATTCACGGGACAACCACATTAGTCCCGTCCAAAACTCACTCTACTGAGTTGCTTTTTTGTTGAGAAAGTTGGAATACTGAAATGAACACAGCAATGATTTAAAAGTGTGCCAAAGTCACAGTTATTACACTTTTGGTGGGAAAAACAAACATTTAGTTATACAAAACAGTTCCAGTCCTCAAATTTGATTGGCATGTTCCAAGTGGTCTGACTGTTTGTATCACTGCACTTGTCTGTTTTCACAGTGTTACAGACTATGAGAGCGGCGAGAGGATTTGCCTATAGCAAGGAGAAAAAACATGGTTGACATTGTTGCAGTGCTTTATACTCCAGTCCAGTAGGTGGCAGAAATGTACCTTTTACGCTGGTTTCCGAAGCAGCACTTAAACAACATGAACGAGTAAATGATGACAGAACATTCACTTTTGGTCAGGCATCTTTAGCAGCGTCTCACACAAGAGATGATCTAAAAATGTGCCACTCAAGTTAAAGTTTTGACGTTTGCGGGGTTTTTTTCATTCCACTGCGCCTCGCGTTTTAACCACACAAATTTTGTTAGAATGACTCCTATAACTGTACATACAGACAAACTAAACAAAACAACAACAAAAAATAAAAAAATAAGTATGACTTCAGTTGTCTTGAAATATATTGTCAAAGTGGTGGATATTACTGCTTTATGCCTGTAGTGATAAAATGACATTGATAAAAGCAACTGATAAAAATCTTTTCTGGTAGCAGGCAGCACAGACAAAGAAAAGGGAAGTAGCCATTCATACAGCATGTGTTGAAAAGTTGTCTTTCTGCATGCGTATATAGATCAACAATTAAAAATATAGCACAGAAGGAATGCAAAACAGTGTCCTTTGGATGGTCTGCTTCAGTTCAACCGATGAACTTGATTGATGTTTGACTGATTGCTGTAGGCCAGTGGCAGGCTCATGTTCAATGATATGGAAACAAATCAAACTATATATTGATCACTCTTTATAATAAATGTCTTCCAATTATCTTTATTTGAAGGCTTTTTTCAACAAATGTGATTCATTGGATTAATCTGAATAGATAGATGGATTAATCTATCATGTAGGCATAATTATTTATCTAATTATAAAAAAGTATGGTCACACTTTAACCCTCTGGGGTCCGAGGGTGTTTTGGGGCCTGGAAAAGTTTTGACATGCCCTGACATTTGTGCTTTTTTCAGTTGCTTACAAACATTTGAATGTCTAAAGTTTAATAACACTGTAATCAGCACAAACTGGGCTACAATAATATGTGAGCAGCATGTATGTATGTGATTGTGTTTTTGAGAAAACAACGTTTATGCGTGCTTAGTGAAAAACTACAATTTTAAAGTCACTGAAATAAGGCCATAAAACACATACAGAACATTTGATCACAAGACTTTTGAGAACTGGATCTTGAAGTCTAGAGTTTTTGCTTCAAAATTATGTGAAAATCATCTTACTCACTCATTCACAGAAAACAATATATTGATTAAAATTTTCTAAGACACTTTTTGTGTAGAAAAGGTAAATGCGAGGAGGAGTGAATGATCATGCATAATGCTGTGATTCACACCTGAGAAGACAAAGGCCTGCATAATGAGCTGCATAATGAGCCTTTCAGTCAGGTGTGTGACGGGAATTGCTACAAGAAAGAATG